CGCTTTTTGGAGCCTTTCACGTGACTACAGCGAATCATCGGCCCCATGTCCGCTTGCTACGTATCGCCGGTTACACAGGTGCCTCAGGTAAAGACTTTGTCTGCTTCCACCGAGAAGCAGTGCTGGGAATGGTGTCGCACCCCTTTGTTTCGTTAGAAATAACCACGCAGAGAGCTTCGGCCTTGCTCATCCTAGGTGGCTGCTGAGGGGTCTGGCAGGGGGGTTGATGTGCAGTTAGCACCAACTTGCTCGTGCTCAAGGCAATGCCCTCCAAACTCCTGTCCAAGAACTACCTGGAATTTGATTCTTAGTGAGTGTGACTTGTATTTATTGTTGACACTTCGGATATTGTTTCTGCATCTTCTACAACATTTGCAAAGTAATAATATTAGAGAGATGCTTGCACATAGAAACGTTTATTAGTTGATTGCTTTGAAGGTCATCCAGCATATTACCAACAGGCAGGTCCCAGACAGGGTCGCTATTCAAGGAGCTGAATGCTGAGACGGCATTGAAAGAGGGTGCAGTAATTAGTGAAGCTCTTGAATTTCAACTCTTCAAGAGAAAAAGAAAAAGAAAGAATACAGTTATGCTGCCTTCAGTTACCAGTAAGTGAAAATTCAAGACTGTTTTATGAAGACAAATCTTTGTCACTAATTGCAAACTTCTTGCTCTGACAGCTCTTCTGAGCACTGCCTGGAGGACAGCAAAAAAATCTACTTATTCGGTGCAATGATGCTTTCAAGTTGGGCCTGAAAAACAAATGAGACAGTAAGTCAAATTAGATTCAACCTAAAAACCAAACACACATTGCTGGAAAGTGATAAATGGTCTGTAAAATATTCAAAGTGAGGAGCTGAGGGATGCTGCAATACTTCAAGAGAAGCGGGCCAGGGTTTTTTTTCCCCTAGAGATTCCATTCCTTACTGCATGTTTTATAAATTAGCTTCTCATTCTTGGCATACACGCTTGCTGCGTTCTGAGAAGAAAAGAGCTGGCCTTGGTTCCGTACAATAAAGACTCAATGTAAAGCACTGAAGAGGAAATTAAATCAGAGCTGTTGAAACGGTGGTCTGAATTCTCTGACTCCAGGCTGGACTGTGCTAGCTAAAGTAAATATTTGGCGCTCTTGCTTTTGGAACATTGCTGACTCTGGGACAGAAGTAGCCAGGAACAGCAGTTTTCTCAGTTCCTGAGACAAGTTGACGCCCAATTAGTAGATTGATTGGCGAGCTACCCACGCTTAGGGAGCGCATAGTGCGCAAAGCTTCCAGGACGCTGATTGTCCTCTCCCTGGGGCTGCCATCAAAATAAACGCCAGCAGCGGTACATACACAGCTGTCGGAACACTTGCACTTCAGGGAAGAAGCACGGATTCAGTGGCAACGCGTATTTGATCTAACAGTTATTCCATTTTGTGCCCTAAAACATTTCAAGGTGGCCTGAAGACATGAATGGTTTAGAAAGGAGGAACTGTAGGAACAGTGAAGTTAGGGAAAGCGGCTCCGCGCAGAGGAAACATCCTCAGCTGTAGCCAGAAACGTTTACGTTGTTTGTGGTAGCCTATGGTTTTTTCTTGACTTGAAAAATGTGGGATTTTTCCCTTTCAAAAGCAAAGTAAGGAGCAGAAGCTCTGTTCTCACCAAAGCAGCATGCACAACATTGCTCCTGTAATTAAGTAGCACTTCCTGCGCACGCACACAATTGTTCTTACTCGGTAATATTTAACATTCAGTGGTGTGTCTTGTTACCAGAGAGTCAGCTTTAATGGCCCACAGCAAGGAAAGAAACCATCGTCATTTGCCTCTGCTAGATTTCCTGTTCTGTCGCTGGGAGGGGCGCTGACTTGTTGCAACCTTACGAGTTACACAGAAACAGATTCCAGGGGTGTCGGTCCAGTTTGAAGCCTCTGCGTTTGGGGTTCAGTGGCACGCGCCGGCTCTTCTCCATTTTCTGAACAAATTCTGGTCTCTCCCTGGGGTGTACGACCAGAATTCAATTAATCTGACCCCCTGCTTGCAGCATCGCGTTTACTAGTGATGGCCAATTACTGATGGCCACTGCACGAGGAAGTGGAGAACGCAAAAGCACGGCCTTCCCCTTTCTTTGAGAATTTAAAGAAAAGTGGAACACCAATACAGATGTGTCACAAATGTAACGCTTCTAAAACTGCAAGGAGAAAATTATTTTTGGATCTTTCTAATGGCAAAACGAGAACCCTTACCATTGCTGTTTGGAATTGCGTTGGGGTTTTTTTTACTGACCTTCAGCTGTTGATTCGTTCGTTTCAGGAACTGAACCTCCTCGGCATGTTTCTTCTCTTCCGTCTGCCGCCTTTCATTCTCACGTTTTTCAATAGCTTCACATTTAGCTTTCTGTTCACTCACTTGTCTTTCCAGCTCCCGCTTTTCCTCCTCTAGCTCGGCGATCTTGGAAAAGAAGACAGATCTCTCAACTATTCTTTGTTAATCAAGTTTCAGTTAAGATGGGACAAAGCTTTATGTTTCCAGTCTCTACAGTGTTCCACATCAGATACTTTACGAAGAGCAATTAAGCCCTAGGAAAACAGTAAGCCAAGTATTTTGATGATCTTTACTGCCATCCAGTGGAAATAGCAAATTTTATGTGAAATCAGTTATTTCTGTGTAATATCCTGATGCATATATATCATGTGCAGAAAAATGACGTGATGTGGTTAATAGCCCAACTTACTCTTTTTTCCGTGTCAGATTTGCCTTGCTCAGCTTGTAGTGCCTTCCGCATGCCAAAGGCAACGCTGCTCTCGTACAACGTCTGGTAAGCAGCAATTGTCATTTGGATTTCATCCCTGACTCGAAGCAGCAACAGTCCTCGCTCCGCACAGTTAATTGTAGTTTCGCGGATCAATTCATCTTTAAAGAAAAGGTGCAACAATCTAGTCAGAGATTGTACGTTCATCTGGGAATGCTGGGTACGCACAGGGTCCAGAGCTCGTTGGCTTTTACCTAGAGACAGTCACAATCTCTGTTGTCGTTACGTTAGAGCTATAGCACCGAGTGCTGGCAGATAAAGGCAGAGCGGTGGTACGGAGCCTGTGCTAACTACCGTGATACTGATCCACTAAAGCTGTCAGAGCAAACACCTGAAAATGGGTAATGATTTTTTGCAGTTACCAGAAAGCCTCCAGAAGAGTTGGGAGCCTCCAGAGGAATTGTGCTCGAGCCAACGACAATCGCTTGCACTGGAAGACCAACACCACCTCATCAGGGTGCGTAAGAGTGCTTCACCGTTAGAGATAGTGTTTTAAGTTATTTCAAATAAACTGCTGGGGTTCAGTACAACCTAGAGAATTTTAAGCTTCTTTGCATCTTTAACCATGACGTATGTGTAAGCATACCTTTACAACACGTCTTCTGCGTGTCAGCTCAGCTTACGACCCCGTAAGCCGCTCTGTGTGGAAGCTGAGGGCTCAGGCGGGTGTTCAGGGCGCTGAGCGGCTGGAGGCCGGCAGGGAAGGCGAGCACAGTGTGGCTGCTGGAAGCCCAACCCTTGCCCCGCGCGGCCTCCCCGGCCCGACCAGGGTTGCATTAAACCTTCTGGAAGGAGGCGCGCTGAGGGGGACGGGGCTTTGGGGGCCGCAGCTCGTCGGGGCGAGGGTGGGGAGCGGGGA